GTCAAGTCCGCATGGCCCTTATGGGCTGGGCTACACACGTGCTACAATGGCAATGACAATAGGAAGCAAGGCTTTAAGGCGGAGCGAATCCTGAAACATTGCCTCAGTTCGGATTGTTCTCTGCAACTCGAGAACATGAAGTTGGAATCGCTAGTAATCGCGGATCAGCATGCCGCGGTGAATATGTACTCAGGCCTTGTACACACCGCCCGTCACACCATGGGAATTTCTTTTGCCCGAAATCGTCTCTATGATAAACCAATGACTTTCTCCTTTCACGACAGACTATGAAATGAGTTCATCATTCTAGGTGTCTTTTGGTGTCATGATTAGAAACGCAACTGTATTTGATCTATTGATGAAGAGTACACGATGCAGATTTCGTGTGAAAGCATTTGTTATGGATTGTTTTGGTGTGGTAAGTATTTGATTTATTGTAAGTTGTCGTGAGTTTTGTAGATGCACGACTATGGTTGCTGCGAAGGGAGGAGTGGCTACCTCACCTCGTGGCAGGCACAGTCACCCTGCCACTATAACCAAGGTCTAACCAACCTTAGTTATAAAAGGTAAGGTCGTTCTACTCTACATGTGATAAAGCTCAGAAACGAAGATAAAACACTTGGGAACAAGCAGGGCCAATGTTACAATATTATCTCAAGCGGATCACAGTTTTTCTTGATGTATATGATGAGATATCTGAAGGACTTTTGTTTTGAAGTCTTATTGCAACAGAATGATCTCACAACTCAATCCCATCAGTAAACTGGGGAGTTGTTCCCATCAGTAGACTGGGGAGTTGTACCCATCATTAGACTCGTAGAGGGTTGTTGCAGAGGACGAAAACTCCAAAGGCTTGTTGAACTGTGTTTGGGTTTGTTTAAGCTGCAATTCTTGGCATCTCGAGTCTCTAACTGAACTTTGGAGAGTCGAGGCGGATTGGTTATATTTACTTTCGTGCATCTCTCTTTCCATTGTGGTGCGAGCCTCTCCAAACCAGTGCCCTCATCTCTTGCGTGTGTATGGAAACAACATGTTCATGATCGGCTGAGTTGCATTTCAACGAGTCACATAACACAATGGTCATACCCCATTTGCTTCTCTCGACGGTTGGCTAGTTGTGTTTTCGGCTGCGCTGGCAAAGCTTCCAGAATAGGTTATGGTGACGACTTCGAAGTCCATTCATCCGACAAACCGTTCAATTTCCCTGCCAAACTTTTCACAATGCCAACGAGTATCTGCACTCACTACCCACTCAACACTATTCATTGACAAGTCACATTGAATACCCTTTTTTTTTCTGCATTACAACGCCAGTACACGGCTCCAGCCTTGCTGCAAATGCAACTCGTCGCCTAAAATTTTTTTGGAGGCTCTGCCAACCGGACCACAATGGCTGGAGGCACCAGCCAAAAAAGAAAAGAGCACTGCTAGCAGTTCAGAAAAGCTTGGCACGAAGTAAGGTGCCTCCCATTCCGGGTGTACTGGTGGTTTAACCAGGCTTCACCGACACAAGCTCACGCATAGGATAAACTGCCACAAACAGACGGACATTGGTTTTCTACAAAGACCCGTAAATAACCAGAAGTCAGCACAAATGTTTCTCAACCATAGTTCCAGTGCACTGGTACAGTGCGTAGTGAGGCGAGGGGTGCTGTGCGTCATGCACGAGAGCGTGGCGCACGTGCACAGAAAAAAAAAAAAAGAAAAAAAAAAAAA